TTCGATAACAGTAAAACATGAGAAGACCAAGAAAAATCAGAGGAAAAAATAACACCAAGATATTTGACCTTCGACACTGTGTTTATTAAGGAGTCTCCAATGGCACAAGCATTAGGGATCCCAACATGGAGTATAGGTTCTGTCCATATCTCAAGCTAAAGTTAACAGCTTGACATTTAGATGGATTGGGTAAGAGACCATTACCAACAGACCACCTTTCAATACGAGATAAATACTCATTCATTTCTATAGGGTGTAAGTAGGTAGAAATTGGCATACATACAGTGAGGTCGTCCGCATATTTTACAAAAGTGTTTTCTGTGGAAGATGGCAGATCATGAAGAAAGAAAGAGAAGAGCAGAGGTGAAAGAACAGTTCCTTGTGGCACACCTACAGTAGACAGTAGAGATGTTGAACACTTTCTTTCAAATACAGTGTACTGTTCTCTTCCAGAAAGGTAGGAACATAGCCAATTGGTTATCCAGCTGTCAGTATCGACGCTGATCAGCTTGTTAAGTAAGAGGTGTCTTGGAATAGAATCAAAAGCAGAAGTAAAGTCCAGGAAAGCGCATCTAACATACTTCTTACCCTTTTCCAACCCGAACACTATATTGTGATGCAGAACAGCAACGGCATCTAATGTGTTTCTTTTGCATTTGCAAGCAAACTGATATGGATCACAGTGCTCTTTTATTACAGGTTGAAGTGGTTGTATCAGTAATTTTTCCATTATTTTGAGGAAAGGTGAGGTTATTGCTATGGGTCTAAGTTTCGCATTTTTATCACCAGGAGTTTTCTTAGGTATAGGGATTACCTTTATCTTTCTCCACATTTTCGGTAAGACATTAGTTGAGAAGGATCTGTTGAAGATATTCATTAATGGATAACATAAAACATCGGCACATTTTTTAAAAAGGAGGTTTGGGATACCATCAGGTCCTAAACATTGGGATGAATTCAGAGACTGGAGACATTTCCGGAATCATTTTCAGTGAAACTGGGAACACTATTCTTCTTCAAGCCCTTAGATATAGGGAGCATGATGTCAGATGACTGATGAATAAAGGACTTATTTAAGTCACAAACATTTAGCTGGTTATCGCTTCTAGTCTGCCTGTCCCCTGTAATTTCTTTAAAGAGTTTCCACATACTTGGAGAGCTTCTACAAGATAGGAGTTTTTGAGTGAACACACAGTTGAGACGTCTAATCTCTTGGTTTATTTGATCATTTAACTTACGAACTTCAATAGTGTTTTTCTCCTTGTACATCCTTTCTTTTACCCTCCGTAGTCGTTTTAGTTGTGGAGATGTAAGTCGATCAAAACTTAAAAAGAAGGTTTCGGTAGGACAGCAAATATCAAAACAGAATTTAAGATAAGAGGTGATAACATCCGTTGTGTTTTCTATTGAATCATCTGTAAATAATTCCCAGTTGGTCGTACGAAACATGTTTTTTAGATTTTGTAAATTTTCTTCTGAGTGATTCCTATATATTACTTTTTTGGTATGGTGTACGTGTGTACTCTTTCCATGTTTACCATATACTTTAGGTAAGACACGAATTATACAGTGATCCGAACTAGACAATGGAGCACGTTTGCGAGTCACATAGGCACCCACATCATTAATGGAAACCAAGTCTAGATGAGCATTCAAACGAGTAGGAAAATCTACTACATTTAGGTGACCTAGTGATGTAAGGAAGCTACAGTCACATGAATTGAAATCACCACATACAATTGAAAGTGAATCACTGAAGGCAGTAACGGCGAATTCAGTAAATTTATCAGCGAAGACAGATAGCGCAGATGATGTGCAGTCTGGAGTCATGTAGATATTAGTAACATAAATATATTTGTATTTATTCAGGTGTTTTGGACGGCACCTTAAAGTTAGACAGTCAATAAAGTCGTTTGAAAACTTGAAACAGGCAAAAGTAGATCGACACCAGTTCACGTTTACAAAAGTAGCTACTCCGCCACCACAAGTCTTTTTATTGTTTGATCGATCCTGACGATAGATATTAAAATCACGTAATGACACTAAGCAATCATCCTGTAAGTCAGTTAACCAAGATTCTTGATTTGTGATGATGAGGTTAAAACAAATTAAAAAAAAACCAGACAACTTGTTGAAATATTTAGATGGCAGAAACAGGTAGCCCAGGTATTCAAGCAGGCCGCCAATAAAACAATGTAACCTCTTCCACAAGAGCAAGTGAACATGTAGATGAAAATCACGTTGGCCCTAAAAGGATGTTTATCCTTAACCCATCCATGAATAGTAGCCCAGCTTGTGTAGACACTATAGAGCTTAACTAAATGGAATGTTTACCTCGGGATTTTTAGTCATGTTTATTCAAGACTTCTGAAACCGTATCGCTTCTAAATTCGACACTCAGACAAATAGTTGTTTTGAATTGTCAGTCATTTTCAGGTTGTAGCCAAGGTTTTGATTTTTTTATCCATGAACTTAGATGGATAGCCATTTCTAATAAGTATTTATCAAGGTTGAAATAGTTTGTGGTTTATTGCTTCATGAGAACATATTGATCCAGTCCTCAAGGTGTCAATTAGGTTTCTCTTTCTCCTAAATGGGACCTAACTATGGAAATTTGTATACTGATTTCATCGAATAGAAGATTGTCTTCGCTAAATTCTCCTCATCTTAATTCAATAACACGACGGGTTGCTTTAATTAAATGAATTCATTTCATTCTACATTAACTCAGTTAATCAAATAAGCTTTCTTAACTGATAATTTCTGTTTTTGTAAGTTTGATACTAATTTAGTGAAACAGTGAGTGGCTTTTACATCAATAATAATAATAATGAAACGTTCAAATATTAGAAGATCCTGAGTTCATTTCATTGCCTACAATTTATTTTGCCTAGTTTATTTATAAATTTTATTTATTTAGTGGGTTACTAAAAATAGTAACTTACTGAAAATGTTTATCAGTGAATGCAACTACAAAAATTTCATCCACTGATTAATATTTAGTAGCAAGTACTTTTATTATCCTACATTTTATTGGTTACTTTAGTTATCCCATTTTGAAAACAAACGTTGAAATGTCCAGTTTACAGCAATGTATCACTCTGATGAACGTATATTCAAGTTTTTTATGATCAAATTAAAATAATTTTATAAAAGTTATTGGGCAAAGATAAACAGAATGTGTTATGATTGCAAACAGTCATATTATATTTCGCATAAGAAACTGTCGGAAGTCAATGAGAAGTGACCAAACTATGAAATGATATTACCTGACGGAATCAATTATAGTTGAGTGAACCTCGAAAACTTCCTAATTGAAGCCTATCAAATAACCGAGAGCACATATTGTTTTAGACTGTTCATTCCATGACTTAGTCTCTTTCAGTATTGATGTTGTTAATTATTGTTAGTACCAATGGTTTTATTAAAGGCTTTATTATCCTAATAATTTCCTTTATTCAGCTCTGCCTAGTTAGTCTTGATAAGTTTTTTTTGTGATGGACTGTGGTTCCAGGTTTGACGATATCTATAATAGTTCCTAATTAGAGACGTTATTGAAGACAGAAAAAATCCCATAAGTCATTTCGTTGATCACATTAATACATTTCATAAATGCAGTTTTCTTGAGGCCTTTTATGTAAAAATTATTTGTCATAGTTTGCTTATTTCCCCAATAATATACCAAATATTAAGAGATTACGGTTGTGGTGCTGTTCTATCGTCCGATAAATCTCATCATCATTGTCTAGATTATCAAGTTTAACGCAACAGTTTTAAATGAAGGTAGGTTGTGCAAATATGTATGTATAAAATAGGGTCACATATGTTCCTACTATGAAATGAGCAACTTATTGTAAAGAGTAAACAACTAACTAGACTGTTACGACAATAAATGAGCTAAAAATGCTAGTCAGGTCATTTGAAAAGTTTATAAGTTTTGAAGGACGGTTATATTTCGCACAAATTTTCCATAACTTTCCTTAAATAATAAAAACTTTAATTACGAAAATATTTAAAACATTTTTTGTTTACTTCTTTGCTAAAATCTTATGAGTGAATTCTTTTGGATGAGCCGTTTCAACTATGACTGTTAATTTACATAGCTGAAGAGATGTGTTGTATGTTACTTATGTTGACATAAGTAGTATATAATACTAGTCACCAGCCTAGCAGCAGAAGGTTGATAAGATCGAATCGAAGAGGACAGAACAGAGAGTAATTGTCGTGGCAATGAAGGAACGATAAAGTTTCAGACGATTGATGGAATATTTGCAAATGAAGTATTTTATGTATGCTACTTATATTCTACCAAGATACTCTGTAGTTTTGTATTAAAATAGAATTGGTTGTCCCAACATGTATTCTCATTCATTACAGATGTATTAGCTTAGTACCAGTTATTTAAATCCACTATTGTAATTACACTGTCATTATAAATGTTGGTATTCAAGTAATTTTAAACTCCATTGAACCATATGAACAAATAATTCACTCAACCTCTATCTTATAATATAGATTAAGTCTATAACCACCGATCTTTAGAATAATTTAGTGAAAGTATGAGAATATGCCATCTAAGTGAGTGATAAGCCTTCGTTAAAATCAAGTCTTAGATAAAGGGTTCACTGACATTCTTATTCTTATTATCTCAGTTGACCCAACAAAACATTTCTTCTATAAATGGATAACGTCTGCATGATTTATCTGTTTTAAATCCTGATTTTGATTAGACACTTGACAATAAGTTTTCCAATCACTTTCTTTCAAATTTACATGAAATTTGTATTTTTTGACTGAAATCGTTCTGAACATTCTATATTGTTTACAAGTTGATCATATCAGATATTTGGATTAAAATTGTCAAGTGTTCAAAATATACATAACATCCACAAATATGATTGTACCCTGTGCATTTTTTTAGTGATATTATCTCCACTCATGTAAGTTAAATTCTACATGTCATTAAATTTGGTTAATAGCTTTAACCAATCAGAACTCTGTGAAAATCGATCGTATTTTAGTTAACCAATGATTTTAAAAAACGAAACAGGATTTGTTAGCACAATGGAAAGTTATTTGTGGTAACATGAAATGATTTATGAAATATCTTTTTCTCTAGAAGTAAAGTACAATTTTCAGCTTATTTCTATGATTCACATATTGAAATAGGATTATGTTTATTCTAAACCGTTACTGGCTTAATGTACTTTATATCTGATATCAGAATTACTTCTCTAAATGTCAAGTTCGAAAGTTATTGTTATAGAGAGACCTGAAAACTCAAAAAGCTTTACCCATGATGAGATCAGCAATACATGTGGCATGGTGAAAGCAGAAATCATACTTTCTAGATTACGTAAAGCCAAAGAATTATCATCAGATTCTTATCTAATCATTGTTGATATGAGAGAGACGAGACTTTACCAATCTGGTCACATACTTACTGCTCGTTCAGCAAACTGTTACACAAAAACTATGGCCAAACGAGCTATCCAGTCATGGGATATTTGGTATACAGAAACACATGGATGCCCTGCACCTTATACGGAATCTCCAGTGTCATTTATTTCACAAATATCACTGGTTAAACCTGCCATTGTGGTTTATGATCAACGTAGTAATTTTGCGTCCATTTCAACACTTAAAGATAAAAAAGTTCGAGCTGAATTGCATTTTATTTCTGCTCTACTAGCTCGAGGAAATCGAGTTTACATGATTGATGGTAAGTCATTACTCATTGCTTAATAATTATACTTTTTATCAACTTGTCCATGGATATGAATGTCAAAACTTAGGATTTTGAATTATTATTAACAATTTATTGCATGTAATGGTAATTTCAGACTACAATGAAAATCAGAAATTGAGTTTTGTTAAAAAATATTTTCAAACAACGAGGTACTTGGTAAAATTATCGTTATGTTATCATATTTACTCGTATTTTAAGGAAAATTATAAATTACGTATAGTTTGTAAAGTGTAAATAATTAATTCACTCAATTTTTTCATTAGTGATAAAGTTTAAACTGATTCCCAAAGTTCTAAAGAGCAGCGACCAGTGGAGTTTTGTTATGTGATGATTGATAGAACCAAGAGATCATCGTGGTTTCTAATGAATTGTTTGAATTGATAAATAGTTCCAACATAATAACTACATGACATCTCGTTAATTTCTTTCTTGTACGGGTCTAGGTAAACAGTAATCGTTTCTATGCTTTATAATTCATTACACTCAAATAAAATTCCTTCAAACACAGGATATTGGATTGAGATCGGCTTTGATTCTTTGGCTAGTTCAGTGACTGGAAGTATTTAATTCTGTTTCAGTAGCGAAAGTTACCAAGTAGCTTAACGAATTTATATCCATTTAGTGAATCCAAGGCCTAGTCACTGGTAATAAGTAATAAGTTACGTTGATTTTGCAGAGAAAAATTACAAAAAGTAGAATCTAATGCTAAATAATATATTGTTGTTCAACCATATAGTTACATGATCCATCTCCTAAAAATAAGACAAAAAGGACAATAATACTATCTTTCCAGTATATATCTTCAAATATTATCTGCATAGCCTCTAAGTATCATGACAGAAATTGTAGGCTGTGGGATTATACTTTACAAAAGAAAGAATAGATAATTCAGTTTTTAATGTAACAAACTAAAATGAGTATGAATGATTGAAAAAAAGGTTCCAATAGTTTACAGCCTCAACTTACCTCTTAAGATTGAATTTGATTGGAAAAGATTAAAATATCGAATTATTGTTATTCACAGCCAAAAAAATTTGACAAACCAATCTGAAATTGTTAATCTTTAATATATGTGGTATCAAATGTTTATGTACTTTACAATTACTAACTAATGGATATTTTAAGTGAATAGTAGACCCCATAGTTTCGTTTACATCTTAAATACCTTATCATTACTGTTTAATCAAAAGTAATTCTTTATATTGATTTTACTCCCCAACTAGTAAATAAATTACGTTTCTATGCTTATATAATACAGTTACTTTAGTGATAATTAATTTATTAAATTATAATAGATTTTAATGAAATTAGTGAGATAGTTTTGTTATAAGTGAAATACAATACCATAAATACAGATCAATAAATGAGAGTTATGATGGTACAATTTCAGTCAGGTTACAAGAACTATTGTTTGGTATTTACTACTAAAATTAGCAACAAAAGGATAAAAATTAATAAATTATTACATTTAAAAACTTTAATGAAGTGTATTATTATTCATAATTGTCTTTACTGAAAACGAATATAAACCTTAAGATCTATTTTATTGTTTAAAAAGTGACTAATTAGTCTGTCTGCTTCATATGTATATAAAAGTAGATTGCTAACATATCTGCTTGCACCGAATAAGGCATAGTTGAATCGAAGTTCCTGATTATTAACGAAATAAAACAAAGTAAACTGCTAATGTGTCCATTTGATTTGCTTTCCATAGTGTTTCAATCTTGCAATTGGTTAATTTTATGGATGATAGAATTATTTATAACAATGTATATTTGTTATCCTGGTTTTATTATAATTCATTTCAACATGGAACAATGAAGTAGAAAACTTAATTTAAAGAACACTAGGAAATCTACCTCTAATATGATAATTAGGTTTTCATCAATTCCAGAAAGAAAACAAATTATTGAGGTAATCAATCAGCAAGAGATTAACAACTAATCAAAATAATCCTAATAATTATTAAATCAAATGAAAGGAAATAAATTATAGGGAAATAGACTGATTTCGTTGATTTACCTATTCACTAGATCATATCTCCTTAGTTTCAGTCATAGCTAACTGAAGCTGAAAATAACATTCTATTGTACGAAATGTCAAATGATGAAGCTCAAACATCCAAGGATTTTAAAAGTATCATTTTCAAACAATTGGCAAAACCTACCCTAAAAGCTTTAGATTACTAATTTAATAACGATGAGTCAATTTAAGGAATCAAAGCTAGTCCATGGTTTTCAAATTAAACTTAGGTACTAATCAAAGTTCCAAACCAAACATGTATCTGGAAATAAATCTGGAACTTAAACCACCAACCGTACCTAAAGAGCATTTATTCCTGAAATTATGATTAAAGGATGATATGGCTTGCGATATAATGGTTTGACATATAAGAAAAGCTGTAGACCGTACATTCAATGCGAAAAGATTATACCCTTCTCTCTTAATGCAACCGATAGTGAGTACACGAAATAATGATAAATTTCCTAGTTTCACTGCCGTCATGTGTATTTACCATTTTGAATGCTTTTTCGAAGTTAGTTATACTGGGTATACAATCAAATAGATATATCATCTTATTTGGGAACATCACCTTTTATGATTGGTTGAAGGAGGAAAAAAATGCAATAAAAACCTCTAATTTCGTGCATTTACTTGAAACTGGTGAAGCTTTTAGGGTTACCTATAGAATCTTATCGGGCTTACCATATGCTTTTGAAATCCGCCTCTTAATTGTAGCAGAAGCCATCAGAATGAGTATCAATTGTTATATCCCCTGGTGAATTATGTATGGTAACTCTAAGGACTATTTATCGACCAATGTATTATGCGTATTTCCTATTGTACAATTGTTACGTAACTAAACGATTCATATTTGTGTTTCTCTTATCGTGAGCTTTATTTTGATCTTTGATTTATTATCATACGATTCTTGAGTCATACTCAGTTATTGATTACTTTGGTTTGTATAAAAACCCATTATGTTTGTAAATAATGATTCATATTGCCGAGGCTGTTATTTGTGTTCTGGACTCAACTGGCTGGGCTAGGCAGATCGCAGGATCGGTTAGCACTCTAGTCTGCTCGTACGGGTTTCGTGTCACTGTTCAACCGATAATTCGCCCATCCACCCATCCACTCGGCCACAAGATATAACAATTGGCGACGGGGACAAAAAAAGGTCAGTTTGTAATTGTTCGAAAATCAGGCAATCATTTGGTGCAATCAGCATCCAACATTCACTTTGGTGTCCGTGAATGTCATTGTGTCATTATTCATATAGTGAAAAATGACGCTCCCTTCCGACCGATTACAGTTGCTATTTGACCGACATTTGGAGTTCATGGTCAAACTACGCACACAGCTTCTGGATCACCAATTCTTTGCATATGCGTCGGAAGTGGATGGATTAATCACAGAATTTCACGCAAAGCTGGAAAATGATCGCAGCCTCCATGAATCCTCGACCAGCCGCAACTCAAACGAAACAGCAGTCTCGCAGGAGACGCCCGGTTGTCCATCACTACCCATTTCAGAAACGTGCCCGGTAGTGGATTCAAACCCCACTATCCCTGAATTAGCAGGTCCGAACAGTGACGCTTCCAGCTCTCATCAACATGATGCCATGTCAAATGCCCATGAAATGGTCGTACTAACCGCCCAAAAAGTACCAGATATAATATCGAGCAGTACACGGAGCGAATCGCATTCCGCAATAGAAATTTTTACCGAATCTAATGATAAAGACTCCCAAGCTTGTCTAGAAAATTTGTTACATGCATCAAATCTGGAACCTAGCGCAGTTTTGGTGGACGCTGTTTATCGTAATGATCCACAACCTGCCAGTGATGTTTGCAATAAGTCTAATGACTACATTTCTGCAGAATCAAATTTTGACCTCACATCAAATGTCGATCCTCACCATCCAGTCAATCTTAGCAGGTTCCCTATTGAATGCCAGAAACATGTTATAAATAGAATCGCATTAATAGAAACTTGGGTATATGAGGATCCAACACTATTTCGTGGGGGAGGAGGAGCTCGGATTTCTCAAAAAGGGGAGGTGTTATATCCCCTGGTGAATTATGTATGGTAACTCTAAGGACTATTTATCGACCAATGTATTATGCGTATTTCCTATTGTACAATTGTTACGTAACTAAACGATTCATATTTGTGTTTCTCTTATCGTGAGCTTTATTTTGATCTTTGATTTATTATCATACGATTCTTGAGTCATACTCAGTTATTGATTACTTTGGTTTGTATAAAAACCCATTATGTTTGTAAATAATGATTCATATTGCCGAGGCTGTTATTTGTGTTCTGGACTCAACTGGCTGGGCTAGGCAGATCGCAGGATCGGTTAGCACTCTAGGCTGCTCGTACGACTTCGTGTCGCTGTTCCAATCGACAATTCGCTGCTCCCTGTTAGGCGGTTCTATCGAGCCACACATCAACAAGTCATCCACTCGGCCACAAGATATAACACAATAAACCTAGCCTTTGTATACGTAGAACATTTGTACAGCCTCTTAATTTACCATGGCTTTTTACTAATTTATTGATAAGTTTCTCAAAATGTTTTCCAAATCTAACAAACTTTCAGATTTTGTCAAATTTTAACTTTTAATTTTGATGTTACGTAATGCGTTTGATGCTTTGATTATCTAGTTCTTATTGTTCTATTATTGCTAATTACTTATTATCGATCTCACAAATAATAAAATACCTACATTTATACTCAATTTCAATTCCTACTACCACTTTTACGTAACTGATCTCGATAATCAGTTGCTTATGAAATTTCAGCTTAGTTCTAATTTTCATTTTATATACGTCATTTTACTGAATGATTACTACATTGTTATTCTATTATTTCTGTATTCATACTTTAAATGAAAACATCATCATTCTCCTAAAACCTCTGACATAGCAGTAAAGGAAACCAGATAATAACTCCACTTGATCTG